CCAATGAGAAAAGCAGGATTATGTCAAAGTAATTTTCATAGTTGCTGTCATTCATACAAATATAAGCTACAAAACACATTTTCAGAAGTTGAAGATTTTTCTGTGTTAAGAATGTGGACTATAATCTGAAATTGAATGCATCATAAAAGAAAAATATTACCACATCACCACATATTAGCCTTGATTCTACCTGCCATCAGAAAATAATTTAGGAAGCTTCTTCAGTTTCTACAATTTAATTAAGGACTTCCAACTACAGAAGTAAACATGAACTATAGCTTTGTTTTTCTTTATTTGAATTCTAAGAGTGCATTTTTAAAAGAGTGGCATGCTGTAAGACAAAGTAAATGATTAGTGAGGTCTAAATTTATTTGCAGCTGGCTTGAGTATCCTGACAATAAGCCATTATTCTATTACAATGCTTTGAAGAATAAATCTAGCAAGTGTAGGGAGAGTGAGGAAACCTCCATAATTCTGTCACTTTAAGGGGAGATGTATGAAATTTCATTGTATGCAAGGTTTACAAACTCAAGCTTTAAAATGTTCTTGCTGATGCAGCCTATTTTATAAGGGTGGGGTGGGACTGGAGTTTTATCACTCAGGGGTCTCACTTGCACATCTAAGTGGAAAATACACCCCTTCTTAAACGTTAAGACATTAGCAAAATTTTTACTAGGAAGCTGGGGTTTTCATATGCCTCTGCTGATTTGCTTGTAATAGCCCAGGCTAAGTCAAATTACAGTCTGGGGAGCTCCCCAGACTGCCTGTTGTGTATGTCAGGGGCTACCATTAGCTGCAACAAGTGTCTAAAACTCAAATACCTACAGGGGGCAGTAATTTTATTTAAATGAAGGGACAGAGACAATAGGAAGTTGTGAGCAACCTGGAGAGAGCGTGCTGGGAATAAGCACAAAGAGTTTCGGTCAAAAAGCATTCAGGAAGCCAGCTATGGTCTGAACGATGGTGTCCCCCCAAAATTCAAGTGTTGAAACACAATCTCTGTTATGGTGATATTGAGATGTGGTGCCTTTGAGAAGTAATTAAGTTATAAGGGTGCAGCCCTCCTGAGTGCCCTTATAAAAGAGGCCTGAAGGAGCTTGCCCCTTCCACTGTGGGAGGACACAGCTAGAAGGTGCAGCAGGAATGGACTAAGAAGTTTAAATGTAAGAAATTGTACTTGTTTCTGGTTGGATAAAAGGCACTAATAGCAGAGGAAGGTATGCAGGTAATTAGCAAAGAAGAGTCAACAAGTGAAAATATGTTCTTGAGTCTATCATTGGCCAGAGGATAGAGGACATAGAGGACACGAAACCTCTGACTCAAGCGTCTGGTGTACTCCACAGACAAACACACACACACACACACACAACCACACACACACACACACACACACACACACACACACGTATATCCATCCTCTTGGGAAAAATGCATGCATTAGATTATCATAGCCTACAATAGAAAATAATCACTTAACTCACCCCTTTATTCTAATTTGACACTCAGCAAACAACTTTTAGATCACAATTTTGGATTACCACCTGGATTTTTCAACAGGAGACCACCCAAATGGAAATTTATCTGTTCAATAATCCAATTTCTTATAAAACTTGCTAAAATGGTTAAATAAATGTTATTTCATAAAACATAATATTGTATAGCAGCAAAGATAAATGAATGAGAGCTATCTGTAGACATATGAATAAATCCTGAAAACAAAGTTAAAAATGAAAGCACATTGCAGCAGGATACATATGGTATGGTACCATTTTTATAAATTTATAAAAACGTAAAATAATGCTGTTTAGTGATACATACAAATACGTAGGAAACATCAGGTTGGGGAAGTGCTGACATCACAGTGAAGGATGGGCAATGGAAAAGAAGTATGTGATAACAATGAGACATACAAGAGATTTCAATAGTATGTTGAATATTTAATGTCTTAACCTTGGTGGTGGGAAACCAGATGCTAGAAGATTTTGAAAAATAAATGTTCTCTGCAGATGAAAAGTACCAGTGACTTTAATTTATGAAACTGAGTGGGTTTTAGCTTTATCAACCTTGGATATCACCTTTCCTTAAAAACATTAGATTTTTGCAAATGTTTTAAATACTTTATAACACATTAAAATCTTATTTTAAAATTTAAAATGTATTTAACGGCTCTGTATCATTATAAAATGCTCTATGTTGGGTTTCTCTTTTTTTAATGCATCTGTCAACCTTCATTGGCATCATCTCCTGGTGGAATGCACTACAGGTTTGTTAATAACTTCATCTATTATCCCACTAAATCCCTAAGTCCAGGGTTCTTGGCACTTATAGTCAATAAAATATTTGCCTTAGACACTCTCAAATTAACCATTTAATTAATATAACTAATTCAATAGAACCTAATTTATATACTTACCATTTAGGGTGCTTCTATCAATCAAATTAGTATCAACGGGCCAATAACCTCCATCTCCATGACGACCTGTTTATTAGGAAAGTATATCAGAGTGTCAGTGGATATACACCATGAAAGCACAAAGGAAACAATATGAACAGACAAAAATAATAAATATTTTAAAATACACAATAACTGAACAGATTATTTTGGCCACCTCCAGGAAAGCCTGACAATATTAATACCCTCATATCTGTGAAAAAATGTTATATTCCATGT